TATTCCAATACAAGGTGTGGGGAGAGGACACCTCTTGGACTGTGGCCACCATGTTGTCCCCAGTGGTCTGTCCATGCAAGGTTCCTGCTGGCAGCTGTGACCAGAGGTCAGCTGCTAAGATCGAAATGTTCTTTCTATTTAGGCTATTCACGGATTGTGGGCAGGTTAAAACTGCCTCTGTCCAGTATCAGCTAGGACATTCTTGTAAGCCTTAGGCTGAGCTTTTGCTGTCCCTTCTAGCTGAGATCTACAGGGGCCTGGATCAGCAGAACATAGCTTTAGATCCCGCTGAAAGCCCAGAGCACATGAAAGTGCCCAGAGCAAGGTGAATCTGAGCACTGCTCTGGTTTATTTGGCCATCAAATAGCCAAGGCAGCAGTTGGTGTTGGACTGGCAGTCAGAAAGCCACTGCTGAGTCAAACTCCAGTCCTGTATTTTGCAGTAATTAGCAGGTTTGAGCACGTCCTTACTTCAGCCAAAAATCCTGGGAGATGACACAAGTCTGTATTTTATTGTATTCATTAATTTAGTGAGCCTGTGTATGTTGTATTTGAGGGAATGTTTTGTGTTCAGGTTCGTAGAGCTGAATCCGATTCTGTTTTACAGGAGACAGCCCAGTTGTCCGTAGCAACCTGAAATTGATTTTTTTCCCCCCTGCCTACTGAAAGCTGTTCCCTCTTGAATCATCCCTTTAATTTAATACAGTGAGCAGGATGTCCCTACATGTGGAAACGTTTTTTAACATTGAGTAACCTAGGCAAGAAAAAATCCTTATATGAACAACAACCCTGACTCTGTTGCCACTCGGCATTAGTCCTTTCTCTTCCATTTCCTTGTGCTTCATTTCAGGTGCTGGAGGCCGTTATCTCCATCAGTTAATCACCATTACTGCCTCAGGGGGATGTCCCCCTACATGCTTCTCTTGGCACCAGGCCCCTCTTTGTCATGAAACCCTCCAGTCTGCCTTGGCCCAGTGTATTCGTTATGCTGAAAAGTCTATTCTTTGTAGTGTGTGTAGAATCAGCCCTGTGCTTTCCCCTGACTTGCAGTGGTACCCACACATGGCACTGGTGATGCAGTGGCTCTGGCTCTGGTGTTCCTTGCAATGGGAATGCCCTGCCCAGCTTTTCATCCCGGCTAGAGGAGAAGGGCTGGGGCCTGTGCTGTTCAGGGCAATGACGTTGTTGTCAGGTGTCCCCTCCACCTGTTGCTAATGAGGATGCTCAGGGCCAGGAGCTGCCAGGGGCCTCTGCTGCAGAAACCCGGCATGGGTGAAGTGCTGCCTCCGTCTCAGCACTGTCGGTGTGGGTATCCTCGGGCATATACAGGCCTGGAGGTAAATACATGCTCTGTGTTGACCTTGCTGAATAATTTAAACTCAAAAAAGCACTATAATACCTGCTGCTTACAATCTTCTCTGACTTGTACCCCTTTGGTCTTATTTCCTATACTAGGTCTCTATTGTTGTCAAAACCTCTTTTTCTGGGTTTTTCCAGTGGGAGTGGCTTCAGTGGAAGCTGTTTGGAAGGTGTTTGGGAAGAATGGGAGGAATTGCCATGCTGGTTTGCTCCTATTTAGAAATCTGTGTGGTGCCTGGGGATTCCAAGGGAGTGATTGCCTTGTCATAGGATTGCCAGGGATGAGGAATTTAGGACAGTTGTGGTTTTGCTACCTGGAAGAACACTTAACTGTCTTTTGGAAGACCAACAGCTTGTGTGTGGTCAGCACAGATTGCAACATTTTTCCATATTTCCTCATTTTCACATTTTCCACATTTGCCCCTGGATTTTGCACAGAATGGCAAGACAGCAGAGATTTTCTCCTGTCCTCTTAGTTCTTGCCCTGCTTGTTGTGGAGCCATGGGAGGAGGAGGTGTTGCTGGGGCAAGGTGTGCCATAGTAGCAGTTGTACCACCAGAACTTGTCTCCGTTGGCTGTTCCACGCAGAGAGAAGCAAGCTGCTGCTTGCATCTACACTTGGGCCATTAGCACAAATTGCACCAGTCTGTGCTGTGAAATGTCTGCCTTTTCCTGGCTTGTTTTATGAAAAGTTAAAAAAAAAAGGGGGGGAGGGGGGGGAGACGGCACGAAATCAATATGGCAGAGGCGTCAGTTGCGTGTTCACCTGCTGTCACTGCAAGAGGAAGCCATGTCACTTGACATGCCTGGTGTATGGCACTTGTTGAGAAGATAGTTATTTAATCTCTCTCTATTTTTTTCGCATCAGTCAAAAAATGGTTTGTTTAATGTGCATCATCTGAACATTTCACTGAATAAACTACCCAAAAAGGTTAATCTCCAATTCTGTAATGCTTTTATTGTCGCATCCAGCTGCTTCAGAGACAGCAATGAGTGTATCTCTAATGATGACTTCCAGATGCAGAAGTAACAGAGGCATCTACTTCTTTCAGGTGCCAAAACTGAGACTTACAAGGCCTGTTTTTTCAGAACACTTCATGTTTTGTAGCACTGTACATGATTATAGTAGAAGTCTCAATTAAAGGTTGAACAGAGAATCTCAGTCTCTGACTGGTAGTTCTTGTCTCTTCTGGACATGATCTTTCTGTATCTTAGCCAGGAAAGGCAAAGCAATAAATATGTGGGAAAAAATTGATATATGTGACTTTGCTTGTATCGTTCCGAAGGTTTATGGCAGAGGCATAAACAGGATCTAATCTTTCCAAGTGATGCTTAGCTGCCAGACCACAAAGCATCCTTTCTGGTCTCCTTACCATGCCTGCCTTGCGTGCTCCCCATCTTCTGAAAACTGAATGAAGGCAAGGAGACCACTGTCCCACATGGCTGCAACCTTCTTATTGACGTGACTTGGCTTTCATACACCACTAGCAAGTAGAGCCTTCAGGTCTCAGTGAGTGTGTGCCTGTGTTGTCATTCCTCCTTTCAACAGGAGTACTGGCTGCCTGAGAGATGGGTATGATCTGGCTGGGCTGAGCACAAGTTCCTCGACTGTTGTCTGTAACTTCTGTCAGCAGGATATTTGTAAATTTAAATGCTTCCTCACAGAAGTATCAAAGGAACTAAGGCCACTTTTCAGCATGAACATGAAAGGCTTTCGCGCACTGGTGCAGCAAGGATTGCCATGGAGAACAAAGGCTTTTGCTAATCGCTTCTAATGCCTTTCAAGTTTATGCCTCATTTTTTCCCCTTTTTCAGACAGCCTCCCAGAGTAGAGACTTCAGTGACTGACTCACCAAATAATTAACAGGAGGAGGACTCCATCTCTGAAACTTTTGAACACCTCTTCTAATTTTCTTAAACCAGCCAGTACTCTGGCCAGGATCCAATTTGTGTAATTACATTTGACCTAACTTAATCCCTTGGCAGTTTCAATTGCATGTGGTAGTCGTCTTGGCTCCCTGTCCTGGGCTGCCATTCAATGCTACTCCATGGTTTTCAACAGCTGTTGTAATTCAGCTGTAGAAATGGGTGTATTTTCTTGGTGGAAGCATTCCTCATATCTCTATCCCTTGCTAAACATCCTTATCCCACTAGTATTTTGGGAGGTAATATGTCTGATGCTGCAGATGATCTTGCTGAAGTCCTTGGAGCTCTTTTCATTCTTAAAGATGAGCGTACATTTAAACTCTTATTAACTTGTCCATCATATATTTTGAGATGCTTTTGAGTTTTTCATCTTCATTAAGAGGCATTTATTTCTCTTTCTCCTCAGCTACTGTGTGCCACGTTAGGGACGTTATTGGTGCAGGTATTCCTCTTTAGCATTGGAAACAGTACTTCTGTTATCAAATCTGTGTTAAATAGGAGTTTGTCACCTTCCTGTGCTGACAGCAGTTGGGCTGGCTGGCTGTAAATGTTGGCATTGGTAAGAGTGTAAGTGATGAAGGAAAGCAAAAGCCCAGGGCAGCTGAGAAGGATTGCGGAGGAAAAGAAAACAAAACATCCCAAGTACAAACTTGGAGATGGACAAAGTGCAGCAGCCAGAGGGACAGTTGGATGGATGATGCATGCGAAAGAGAAGACCCCAAGTTGTTGCATTGGCACACTCTTAGATGTGCAACAGGTATCTTGTTTTCACAGCAGGTGGCAAATTGAGTGTTTCTTGGCTTCAGCCCTTGGAAAAGGCGTCTTTGTTACAAAGTCACTTGATCCTTTGGGACCAGGAGCAGCCCCTGCTGAGAGGAGGCAGGAATTTAGATGAGATAGGGTGCAAAAGGTGATCTACTGCTGAAAGATGCAGTTGTGGCAAATTATCTTCTACTATTTAGCTCTGCTTTTCTGAGGGTCTCCAGAAGTAGGATGGGAAATGTATTATTGCTGCTCTCCCTTTTTACTTGTTATCTCTCATAAAATTTGGGATGTTCTTGATATTTGGAACTCTCCCCTTTGTTTCCAAACACTACTTAATGTAAATCCTTTCTTTATTCTTTCTACATTGTCACCAAACCCTTGGGTTAATGAGAAAGATTTCATTTTTTTCTAGGTGGAATATCCTGAAGATGGAGGTAAGGACTATGTTGGGAACACAGAAGTTATTCAGCCATTCATAAGGCCTGACTTTTATCCTCTGGGTCTCTCCCATAATTACACACATTTAAATCTCAGAGTAGACTAGAAGTCTTGTCTCTGTTGGTTTCAGTGACAATGTAAATAAAGTCACCACTGGTAACATTAAGATTTGTCCTCTGTCACAGTACATAAATGTTTGGAGTTGGAGCCATTTTATTTTGATGTGTGCTGCCTATAACTTACAACCTGGCAGAACTTTCTGCAAAATCCATGAACACTTTGTTAGAACAGAGATTTATCAAACCCTTATGGTGGTTGTCAGAGAAAGCGTGGCCAAGTTTGAGTGGTGGCTCATGATGTATCTTCAGTCATTGATGTTGCTTTTGAAGATCTGTTTGCATGTTAAATAATGGGGTGGGAAAAATTCCACTTCAGAGTTGTTGGGTTTTCCTTTACTAGTGGACTGTACTGTCTAACATACTGAAGACAATTATTTTCTTTTCCATGTTTCAGAGTACTTTGTAACTGGGGTGTGCCTGAATGCATCAGCCTTTGGATGTGAGCGTCTCCTCTTGAAACAGTCTCGTGATACCCAGCTGTCTGCTCTCTTGGGGTAAGAAGAGAAATGCACATGCAGAGATTGAGAATGTGGTTTGGGCAGAAGCAGAACAGCAAGAGAAGTCAAGCAGTACTGGTGCCTCAGCTTGTAAATTTTGGAAATAAGGAACTTGTCATGGAGAAAGGGGGGAAAAAACTGTAAATCTGTCCACTGTAAATAAGACAAGTTCTAAACTTAAGTTTGGCTGAGGCACTAGTGATGATCTCCTGCTTTAAAGCTGATAGTTTGAAAGGCAAAGCTCAGTGCATCTGTGCAGAATGAGCTGCATGGTTTGATGATGAATTGATACAACAGCAATTAACTCTGGTGCTCAGTGTCTTTGTTACCTGAATGGTGATGTTATTTTGGAGGGAAGGATACGCTCAGTGAGAAGAGGTTTAATCCTCTGTTGCTGGCATGCAGCATAAACTTGTGGTAAAATAGGAGGTTTTATCAATTCTAGCTCCTTTGTAGAAAGTTTCTGTGAGTTTGGTTCTCTTCTGTGGTCCATGTAAGGGTTTTACTCTCAGGTGGGCAGTCTCACCTGTTTTATAGTGACATGAGAACACAATGCTACAAATAAAGATAAACTGAGCAAAATACAAATATCATGTGGAACACAGAGAGATTGGAGCCAGGGCTGATGAAATGGAGGAAAGTTTAATTTTTCTTCTCTTGTTCCTCTGTTCTTGTTCTCCATTGTGTTTCTTTGTTGTGTCTTGACAGCAAACACAGCAGGGTCTTCCTGACTTTAAAAATGCTGGCTCACCAGCTGGGTCTTGAAATAAATGATATTCTGAGGATGGCGGCTCCTTTAGTTCCCTTGCTTCTTCCTCCCTTCCATGGGAGCTGCTGATGATAAACTGAGCCTGGGCTCAGGCAGCTTCTGAGCCAGCAGACTGAGAAGAGTGGGGTTCAGGTGCTTTGTCTTCCTCAGGCTGGTTAAGAAGATCAGTGAGATACCTTTCTTATCTCACAGGGCATCTGAAATTCAGTGGGAATTTCTTCAACCTCTTGTTGGACTTTGGTTTCTCTAGTAGTTATATTTCATTCTTGGTGTCAGCAAATACTGGTGTCTCCCCTCGAGTAACACTAGTGTCTTATTGCTCGTTATCATCCTCTGCTTAGCAGAGATAAGCTGTTGTGTCCCAGGGGTATGGCAACATGGAAGAAACTTTCAAATAGTGCTAAGAAATGCAGATGGTGTCAAAAGAGAAATAAGGGATGCCTTTCTGAAGTCACCTTTGTACTTTTTTGTTCTCTTCTCCTCCCTGCCCCCCTTGAGCTTTTCAATTCCTGCAACTATCCGTTGAAATCTTGAAAGCAAAATGCGTTCATGGAAAGATACAATTTACTGTGTGCCCCCCTGATCTTTTGATCTCAATCAATCAAATAAATCCAAGACCTTGCAGTTCACCTTGTTTCAAGGACGGTTAATAAGTTGAACGGTTGTACCAATGGCAGTGATGCCTTTCCAGCCTTGTGCTTCTTTTATTGTTGTTATTATTTTTTATGATTCTGACCTTTCGGACTGGTCAGGGTAAGATTATTTGCAAAGAATGCTCCATAAATATGCCTGTCATGACCAGAGTTAACATTCAAGCATTGCTGCTTAGCAAAAGAAAACAGTATACCAAAGTTCAATTTAGATTTCCTTGCAGGGTTGAAAATAATGACAAGACTCACTTAACATGGCAGGGATGAGTCCTGCCACCTCTATGGGAGTGGCTGCCTTGCAGTCCTGCAGCACTGTGCGGCTCTGTGCCTGGGTAACTTGGTGGCTGCACCTGAAATTTGGCATCTGATGCTGGGGCTCACTTGGGGTGGAGGATCCCTGGGTGTATCTCCTGACTCTTCAAGGTGCCAGCTTAGTCAATTAGTAGTTTTCTTTGATTTTGCAACTGAATTTTTTTTCCTCTACTACTGTGCTCCTTGCTTTCACTTGCAAATGAGATTTTGTGGAGCTTCTCTAAGCTCTGTCCTGCAAAGCCATCCTGTTCCCATCCTTGCACTCGATCCTCGCCTTCAGTGCAAGCCAGCGTGTGTTCCAAGAGTCGCTTAGGAAAGCCCTAGTGCATCCTGGTATGTTGTGAGTTGTGTCCTGTGGGTTGCTTGCTGTGATCTCTGAGTGCTTTGAGAATCCCAGATTTCGGTGGGAAGCTGGTTCCTTTTTACCTTGTTGTGACTGTTCATGGAAACAGTTCCTAGATGTCTCCCACCTAATGTTTGCCACCAAGGAGGCTTGCAGCATCCAGTGGCAAGAATCTTGCTTAACTGTCAGGAAATATAATGGCGATTGTCAGTGTTTCTGCTGTCCTGTCAGCAGAATCGACTCCTCTGGGTGGGAGCAGCATGAGGAGTGACATTGGGAGCCAGCAGCTGCTATTAAGGCATTAACATGCAGTGTTTGAAAGCCACACAGTCTGTTGTATAGAAATAGTTTGTCAGAAGTATGTGGCTCTTCTGAGGTTATCTATTCTTCTTTCCATAGATGAGAAAGTGAAGGTAATGAAGATCGCTTGCTTTGACCACAGGAAGTTCATGTTAGTGGAGCTCTGAGGCTGGATCTGAAACTCAGATAGGTTTGGCCAAAAAAAAAAAAAAAAAAAAGCTCCATGTGGTGAAAGGCAGCAAGTTCCCTGAAAAAAGTTATGCCATCAGTTGAGAAATTAGACTGGGACTGGGTGGTGAAATAATGGTGCAAAAAGCAATGCAGCTTGTGGAAGGTCATGCAACAGCTCTGTACCAGATCCCTGCGACAGCTCAGCAGCTCTTGGTCCAAGTCAGCAGCGCCGTAACTTGCAGTGAAGCAGATGGGTCTGGTTCCCTGTCAGCACTGGCTGAGAAGTTTTAAAATAAAATAAATTTGTCTTTAGGCCCATCTTCAAATCCAGAAGTCATTTTTCCGACACCTGTAAATAACCCTTTTCTGGATTTACCTGCCTCGCTCATAAAAGGAGAAGATATGGGAGAAAAGGAGAACTGAGGATGGCAGAGCAGTGCCTTTGTTGTGTGGTGCCATACCCTCACAAGCCTGGTGGCCATGCCATGAGCTGGGGAGAGGTGTCCCCATCCCCATGGACAGCTGCCATCCTTCAGGTGCCAAGGGGAAAAGCCCTTCCACATGCAGGAGTTTTGCATGGCCCAGAAGGCGACGCTCTTTTTTTTCCTTATTCCAAAAGGGACTGGCAATTAGCAGCAGGGGTAATAGCCACCTGGAATTAAATTGTATGGAGGCATGAGAAATAGTAGGGTATATTTAGAAATATCTATTGCATATATATATACCTCTTAAGAAACATGTTGGAGATGCCATATCCATAAATACTAATAAGGCTGTTTGATTCCAATTTTCAGGTAAGATTAACATTTTATTGAGTATTATATCTGTCACATTCAATGCTTTAGTGTACCATCCTCTCAGGCTTATTAGCATAATTGCAGTGCTTAAGCAACAATAAAAAATTCAACAGTAAAATAGCGGTTAGCACAGGCAATTTGTTATCAAAAGCTTTTACTTAAGGACAGCTTTTGAGCATATTTATTATCCAGTTAGGGCTATACATTATTTTTATTTAGAAAAACAAGAGGGAAACATTGTAGGGTGTTTTTTTTCTTTTTTTTAATGTCTAAATCAGAAGGCCTGAAAATTGGTCACAGCCTTTTTCTGTTTCTTAAAATTGCTCGGCAAATTCATTTAGAGTGGGAAGGCAAGACAGCGAAACAAACTCAGGTCTGGAGCAGGACTGATGTTAATAACTTGGCAGAACAATTCTGTTAAATTCTGATGCTGACCTGGATTCCCTCGTTGCATCCCAGACCCTGAAGACACTGTCCTCCCCCTCTGTGGCTGATGGCACTGTCACCAGAGCAGCACGAAGGCAGGAGTGGCCCAGCCTTTTGTCCCACCACTGGCTGCAGCCTGGGAGTCAATATAGCCGTGTGCTGCAGGGGTGATGCACTTGCAGACAAGGGGAGGGACTGGATGGGACCTGCAGGAAAATGGACTTTGATGTCAGTGCTGGTTGTCTCGGAGGCTGGAGCAGTGGAGCATGGCCTGGCTGTGTGACAGTGCTGCACACTCCCTCTGTTCCTTTTCTGACTTTGAGGACATTTATGGGAACAGTCCTTTTCCAGAAGATATATAGCACGGATGTGAATGCACGTCTGTTTTTGTGCATGCACCTGCTTGTGCACATACACACAGAAAGTAAAGTCCCTGATACCAGCATGGCAAAATTTCATGTGAGTATTTTAAGTTTCAACAAATTTTCTATGTGCATTTAAAATAAAAAGTTGTACCTCATAAATGAAGAAGTAAATGAGTTTTAAACAACACAAGAAATCCTTAGACTAAGAAGTCCATTGAGAAAAGCACATTTATGTGGTGAGAGGAAGACTTGCTGTGATTGCTTGGGATTCCTTTGCTGGTGGAGCCTTTTTACAGACCCTCTCTCTGCTTGCTTTTGCTCCTCAAGCACCCTTCAGACTTGTAAATGTGTCTGTTTTTTTTGCTCCCATTTTGACTGTTGTCTAAGTTTACCATGAGGAGAAGTGAAGGCAGTGCTGCTGCCACAGGGAAGAAGCTTGTGTTCATAGTGAAACAGGATCTGCAAGCAGGTTGTAGGAATTGGGAAGGGAGCACATGGAAGCAGGTGAAACTAAGCTGGGCACATATTAGAGAAGTGATGTGCTTGTGGGGTCCTCTTCACAAACAGCTTCTTCTGTGAATATGTAGAATGGTTGTTTCAGATCTCTTTTTTTGAGGGTGGGATAAAAACGCAATGTTATTATTCAGAGATGAATTGTATGTTTCAGATTCGAGGGTAGTTGAGTATTGCGTTGGTGCACAGCTCACTCTCATGAAACTGCCTAGCACTGTATGGTGTTTAGACTTTCTGTCAACAGAGAGCTTGGTGATGCTCCTGGGAATATGAGTACACAGAAACTGACTAAAGCTAAACTTCCTGGGAACTTTGCTCTTGGTGGAAATTTAACTGATTTGAATTGCCGCT